TTATTATTATTAGTGCAAGGCTTCATAAAATATTTTCAATATTTTGCAGCTGAAGCTCAGATCAAAGTAAACAAACCTGAAAACCTTTGAGGAAATTTAGAAAGGAGCCAGTGCAGACACAATCCCAACATAATCTTGTAACAATTAAAGTTTTAAAAAGCTGTATTTTCATATAAACTATAAAAGACATGTATAGAGCTATTCAGCTGGTGGTCTGCAGGCTCCATCTGTCCCGTGGGTAACTTTTGTCGGGCCAGCCAATGAAGAAATTTTTTTTAAACTTAATTTGACATAAAAATAACTTTAAATCGATTTTAATTCACATTTTAATCCAACAAAATAAACTAGTTTAAACGGTAAAAGATAATAATACTTGTCATACCATTACTGGGCACCACCCCCACCCACCAATGCCCAGCCCCTGCGTTGTTGGCTTTATGCAACTGTAGTCCTCTATTTAAATAGCCCTCTATCTTTGTATCACCATGGTAACTATACATCTGTGTCTGTCACTCCCTGGCAGCACTAAAGCTGGATTTATATGTTACAAGAAATGATGAAATCTGCTCTTGCTGGCATATTTACAAGATTTTATTTTTCACATGAACATGCATAAAGATGGCTGTATTTTCTAACAGCGTCAGCAGCTGAAACTAAATGGKATCATTGCATTTCACACGCTTAAACATGCCCACAGTGAAGTTCTAACACAACAGTTGATGCACCTGAGAGAAAAAAGTTCCTCAGTGAGAACAAGCTCTAGGAACTCCTGTGAGAACAAAACATGGTTTTCATCACACAGATGATTTTTTTATTTATTTTTTATTCTGATTGCCAAACATGACTTGCTAGAATCCCATAATCTCCTTTTTTTTTGGTCACAGTTTTTTTCTTTTTTGTAAATTTTATCAATGCTGTATGACGTAATGATACTAAAAACCATAGCACACTGTTCCTGATAGGGCTGTTTTGGTATTTAATTTGAATGTGTTGTATGTTCAAAGCATGACGAGCTACAGTTTATCACAAAATAAAATAAATTTCAAAATTAGTTCACTTCTGCCTGGATGGAAACGTAAACAGATGGTCTGAGATGTGACAAGATCAAAGTACAGTCTCAAACTTTTTATAGAGTTTTATGCAAATGTCATTTTAGAAACCATAACATTGTTGATTGCTTGGCGTTATTTGCATAGCCTTTAGCTTGTTTGTGAGCACAAATAGCAGATGTTGCAGCATTGTGGCAGGAATATATTTGCATGAGTTGTTTTGAGAATGGAGTTTCAAGATGACGGATCCACTTAGGATTAACATTAACTCGTCTATCAAGTTAGAATTAAACTTATTTTCCCGTTGTTCAAAGAGCCATCAATGATTGTTCATAACCTTTCCACAGAACCTCACTTCAAAAAGAGCTGAAGGTTTCTGCTGTGTGCATCTGCAAATTTTCTGTAAAGTTCACAACTAAAACTAATTAATTTTGTTTTAAATGATGCTTACTTTGTTTCAACCAGTTGGCGAATACTGAAAAAACTGCTTTGTGGTTATGTTTAGACCATCAACGCGTCTCCACCTTGACAGGTAGAGGCTAAATACGGATTAACCGTCTTATCGAAAGGATCCGATACGTAAAGCACAGCCTTTTGACCCATATTCAGCTGAAAGGAAGTTCTTATTAAGCAAATATAATGCTGAATTATTCTGAAAAATGCAATAAATACATTCTTTAGACTATAGAAATACACCTTTGTGAGTCACGCTTTGAAAGACTTGAGCTACTGGCTTTATCATTCAGCGGGGCCTTCATTAAATCAGATTAGCAGATTAGAATTGTTGGCGCAGATTACTTTATAACCCAGATTGAGGGAGAGGAGAGGGACTCTTCAGAAGGACTTTGGTGAGGAAGGACCAATACCTGTGAGCATCGGTAAGTACGTTCCTATTCTTTTTCTTTTTTATTTCTATTGGGACAAAACAGTATTTCAAATATTTCCAGATGCTGACATGAAAGAAAATAAAATACATAAAAAAGATATATTATTTTTTGACTTGGACAGAAAATGCCGGTCATAAATGTGGAGGATCTGACGGACAAGGACAAGGCTTTGATGGAAGTGAACCAACTGAAAACTGAAGTCAAGCTCGAGAGGTGGTTGGTAAGTTCTATTCACTGAGGCAAAAAGCTTTTATTTTGAAAAGTACTGACACCCGTCCAAAATAAAAAAAAACTTCAGAAGAGTCTCCACAATTAAGCTCCATGTGTTGTCGTTTCAGACGTCTAAATGCTGCGAGGAGATCAAGGAATACATTCAGGCCAGAGTGGAGGAGGACACCCTCGTCAAAGGCATTTCAGAGGAGAAGAACCCCTTCAAGGAGAAAGGAGGCTGTGTCATCTGCTAAAATGGATCTGAGGAGCTTTTTCATGTCCCAGATTAGCACACAAGGACATTCTCCCCTCCCCTCGCAAAATGAATTTGCATGTCGAAAAGACTAGAAGAAAAACAAGAAAGAAAGACTTTGTAAAACACGAGCTCCTGTGTAAATAAATCCCTATGTAAGATGGATTTGTAGCCTTATAACTGTATTCATTGAAAAGATACAGTATGTGTGGCGTTATAATCTGAGTAAATGGGTCTAAAATATGTTGTCATTACTTTGGGCCTGCTAGAAAAGTTACAGGAACATATCCTTTTAACAGAATTTGCATATATTTAGCTTCCCCAACTTTTTGTTGTGATATAATCACTATTTTGTAGCATAAACCACAGGTAATATTAAACTTTTAAAAATGACTTGTGTGCACAATTGTAGATTTTCTTTTCTTTGTAGGTTTTCATTATTTTTGTTTATTTATCACAAGCAAACTCATTGTTTTGTTGTTTATATCAGGTAAATCAGTGAAACAAATTTTGTAGATACAGCATAAAAGGAAAACATGCATCAGATATATTTTCTTATAGTGTAAGGCTTTAGGAAATTCACAGAGCTAAGAAAATGTAAATACGTGTTGTGAAAGACCCTCAGCTACAAACACACCAAACTTAATCTTGATATCTGCAAAACTGACTAAATTATGGATATTTGTGTTTTTTAAGGTCAGTCAGCTATAAATACAATCGTGTAGTTGACCCCAAAAGTTGGTCACTTGTCCAGTAAATATGTCCTGAAAGTTTCGCTTAAATAAATTCAGCAGTTTGTGAGATTTTTTTTGCTAACAGACAGTGTTACAAAAAATGTTAAAAGCATTTTTTTAAACAAAGATCTTGTGCAAACTGTTGGTGTTAAGAATATGATAGGTATCTAAACAGCTGATCTGAGATCAATAGCTGTACAATGGACATATATATACTGTATATATA